ATTTTGATTTATCAACAATCACTTCCATATGCTTTTGAGTTTAAAAATTTTCTCCCCTTTCCTCCCCACCACCCTCCGCAAGATGGCACACAATCTGATATAGGCTATACATATACATTCCTATTAAACGTATTTTCACATTAGTGATGTTGTAAGTAAGAATTTGAACCAACAGGAGGAACCACCAGAAAGAGGAAACAAAACTCAACAGAAGAGAAAAAACAAATAGCAAATAGTGTGCTTCAATCTACATTCAAATTCCATAGTTCTTTAGCATCACAAGGCCTTTGGAGATGTCTTAGATCCTTGTATTGCTGGGAAGGGTTAAGTTTATCAGTATTAGTCATCACACAATGTGGCTGTTATTGTGTACAATGTTCTCTTGGTTCTGCTCACTTCACTCAGCATCAGACCATACAAGTCTTTTCAGGTTTTTCTGAAATCAGCCTGTTCATCATTTCTTATAGCACAATAGTATTACATTATAGGGAAAAGGTTTCTTTATGAGATCAGTAACAGTAGTGGACAGCTGAATGTAACTCACAACCTAGATCTCACTTCTGCCCCTAACAGCTCAGCAATATGCAATCTATCTGTCCTGCTTAATTGACCTAAGTTAATTATATATATATAAAAAAAGTAACCTATCTTTCTTGGCCATCAGCAAAACCATGGAAGAGGTGAAGTGTGCTGTCAGTATTCTTCCACTTTTTTTCTGCACCCCTCCTCTATCACTTAGGCTCCTTTTCTTTCACCTCCCTCACTAGATACCAAGTAGCCTCATGCTGCATTATGTCTATCCATATCCATCCACTAAGAGATTCAAACCAGCTCTCTCCTCCCTCCAGCCTCATTTACTCAGTGGTACCATGGAGCTTTAGGTGTCAGAGGGGAGGAAAGAACTTGATTACAACGTTTCTCACTGATGTGTGAAAGACAGAGAGGTCCTGACTCTCTCTGGAATACCTGAAGAGCAACTAATAATGTATTCTATCAGACTGTAACCTTCTAGAGTGTAGGAATTTTTATTTTTATTTTTTTGAGTATTTCTTAAAAGCTTTCCTGTAGCTGGTCCTTAACAAATGATTGTTAATTTGGCCTGAACTGTGGAATTAAGAGAGATTTTTTTGGAGGGGCTTGCCGAAACCCTTCAAATTACATTCATCTAGAGTTGTGATAATAGCAGTAGTTAACATTTACATAATGTTTTAGGGTTTGCAAAGTACTTTATATACCTTATCTAATTTTAGCCTCACAACAACTCTGTGAGAGAATATAATTTCCATTTTACAGATGAGAAACCAGAAGTTGAGAGGCTGACTTGCCTAGATTCACACAGCTTAGCAAGTATTTGAGTCAAGGTTTGAATTCAGGTCTTTCTGACTTCAAGGCAAACACACTAATGCTAAATCAAGCTGCCTTTCTATGCTGCAGGTGACTGTTTGGTACTCTTAAGAAAGACTGATCTTGTAATTAATAAGAGCACTATTTCCATAAATGATGGCAAACCCAATATAGCTAGGTCTACTTGACTCCTATTTTTCCAGAAATCAAACAAGAAAGCTCAAACAATCAGAAACACTTCCATAATCCTGGACAGCACTCGTATTCCCTTTTCTTCCTTTATCCTTAGGAAGCTCCTTTTCTTCTCTCCTCTTCAGACTTGTCTTATCCTCTGATTCCTTCCCAGCTACCTAATAACACAGCTAGATAGTTCTCCCTAATACTTAAAACAAACCAAACAAAACCCTTCACTTGCTCTGCCAATCCCTCAACTTATCATCCAATATTACTCTGTTAACTAGATGACCCCCTAAAAGTCTATCTAGTTCTAAATTTATGATCTTATGATCTCTCTAGAAAGAGTTGTCTACACTTGTTTCCTCTATGTCCTCATCTTTCACTCATTTCTCAAACCCCTGCCTTCTGGATGCTGATCCCACCACTCTGTTGAAAATGCTTTCTCAAAGATTTTTCTCTTAAATGCTAAATCCGATGGCCTTTTCTAAGTTTTCATTCTACCTGCCTTCTCTGCAGCTTTCAAAAGTTAACTGCTCCTGCCTGCCTACTCATCATTTCTTATAGCACAGTAGTATTCCATCACAATCATATAACACAATTTGTTCAACCATTCCCCAACTGATGGGCATCCCTGCAATTTTCAGTTCTTTGCTACCACAAAGAGAGCTGCTATAAACATTTTAAAATATATAGGTTCTTTTCCTTTTTCCCCTAACCATCTTTGGAAATAGACCAAGTAAAGATACTGCTGAATCAAAGGGTATAGACAGTTTAATAACTCTTTGGGCATAATTCCAGAATGCTCTCCAAAATGGTTGGATCAGTTCACAATTCTACCAATAATGAATTAGTGTCCCAATTTGTAGGAATTTCACACTCAGCATCTCCAAAATGAATTTCAGTATCTCTCTTACATAAACTCATTCCTCCTCCCAACTTCTCTATTTCTGTTGAGGGTACCACCATCCTTCTAAATCAGCAAGTGACTTGCCCAAGGTCACACAGCTAGTAAGTGTCAAGTGTTTGGTCTAAGGTCGGATTGGAACTCAGGTCCTCCTGACTTCAAGGCCGGTGCTCTATCCACTGCGCCACCTAGCTGCCCTGAGACACCATCTTTTTAACCAGCTGCTCTTGAAGGACATCTCAGTGTAAGAAAAGTACAAGCCCGAGCAAGTCCTACTGCTTGAGAGACTTTGAGTATGGGCTCAGTGATGGTATGTATATATGTATGTCTATCATTTGAGAACCCAATTAGCTATGTTTCAAAGGTTGGCTGCAGGATTATTGATTTTTCAGTGGCGGCAACTCTCAAAGACCTACTAAGAAAATTAGGGGCTATGACCTCTGTTAGTGGAAGGAGTAAACCCATTGAGAAAATTGATGCTCCTTAAAGTACAGAAGTATACTTTATCAAATGAGATAATAACTGTAAAGCACTTAGCATAGTGTCTTGCACTTAGTAAGTGCTATGTAAATAGTAGATACCATTATTATTAGTATTATTATTATTAAGTGTCTGTAAGACAGCTAAAAATGGCTGCTCTTAGTTAATAAAAGTATCCAATTAACCAAAAACCTTGGTTTTCAGAACGCACATGAACATGTACTATAAAATGAGAAGTAGAACCCAAGAAGAGCTCCTTAAGGTGTCAGGTGTACCTTGTGATGAAGCAAAAATGCCCCTAGATGCTCAGGGTTAGAAGGGAATGAGTATGAGGGGAGTGGGAGGAGAGACTACATGGAAATGTGAATACCAAATCTATTGCCTTGCTGTTAATACAAATCAATGACCAGCACAGCTAACTGAGCCAGGATTCTAAAGGTAGCAATTTTCATCAGCATCGTGTGCATGTCACTAAAAGTTATTGGTTCGATGCTCCTTCTGTTTCATGGTTTACCAAGCACTTTAAATAGATTACCTCATTTAATCCTGAAACCTACAAACCTACAAAGAGTTATCATTCCCATTTTACTGTAAAAGAACCCAAGACTTGAAGAGGGTAAATGATTTCATTAACTTGCCTTTCACGGTCACCACTGACAAAAGGACAGTTTCACTGTGTAATAAAATAAAAAATTCCTCCAAATGCAAATCAAAAATCACCTTCCCATTATTTCCTCAGGATCAGAATCTTAGCTATTAATGTTATGCTTCCCTACTCCAAGATACCAGTTGACTTGCTTTTCCTTCATAATGAATGTTAAGCAAATGCAACATACCCGTCCCTAGTTGGGAATATCATTTTCATAAGGAATTTTCATAGGGAATAAGTTAGGGGACTACTGGATTTCTTGAATGAAAGGAAAAGATAGAGTGATAGAAAAAGGGAGAGAAAGAGGGAGAAAAAAAAGAGAAAGGGATGACCCATCACTGAATCTGTCAGGGTTTCGTGTTCTCCTGGAAGAACTTTCACAAACAGCTGGTTAAGATGGTTTCTAAGAATGGAATTTGGATTTCTGGAACACAACTTAAAATACAGGAATAATAAGCTCATGGCCAGGGATGGTGTGCACCTAACAAAAATTGTTTAGAATATATCTGCTGGGAGAAAAAAGGGAGATACGGAGGAAAGGAGAGAGGGAGAAAAGGAAAAGGAATGAGGAGGCAAGAAACAGAAGAGGAAAGAGCAACACTGACAGTGGGGGTAGCTAGGGAAGATCTGTAGTAGGTGACCTTTGAGCTGGGCTTCAAAGGAAACTAGAAAATCCCATCTTTTGGAATGAGAATTTTTTACCTCTTGTGATTACCAGTGGGTAGGAAGTAAAAACAAAACAAAACAAAACCAACAACAACAAGCCAAAACAATCCCTTACTTTTTGCCTTTGCTTGGGACAAGTGACCTTACTTAACTGGAAAAGGGATTAAATTAACAATGGTTTTGAATTTCACCACAGCCCAAGGTTTATGGTTTTCCACAAGCATCTAAGAAGCCACGTACAAAGCTGTTAGCTTAGTTAACATCAAACCTTTGCCAGGGTCTGGGAACATCCACAACAGTCCCCTTTCTCTGTCTCTGATTATAAATATTCAGGTTCTAAAAATACACACACTTTGTGCAATTTAACATACAGTTTCTCTGATGTGGAACTTCCTAATAGCCCAGTGTCCTCTAGGTTAAGTTAAATGCAACTATGTGATCTTCTGTTATGGAAAAGTTAAAGCAATGCCATCTGTATTAAGGCTATAGGATAGAGTGACTGCTCTTTATACAGACTTTCACTGGGCTCTGTGCCATCTTTTAAAGATCCCAGAGACAGCTAAGGCATGTGAAGCCATTTCAGGTAAACTTGGGTTGGACTACACTATTCAAACAAGCCAGCTGGAATGAAACAATATACTGTATTTAGCAATGACCAGAAGGAAATTTTTCAAGAGGCTAGGCTGGTTTCTCTAGTTTGGGACCTTCAACTAGATCTCTGTTTCCTAAGTGGCATCAATAAGGTGGAGGGATGATCCGGGAGGTGGCGAAGATTCTTACCTAATGAGATAGTCCAAGGCCAACTCCGCTCCAGATGGTTTTTGAGGGTTTTCTTTTACACCATGAATCCCTGCTTCCCGAAGCTGTTTCCTTTGTTCTTTCTTCCGTTCCTTCTTCAGTTTTCTTTCCAGGGTTCTCCTTTCCTCTGGGGTCAGTTCCTGCTCATCTTCCTTTTCCTCATCACTTGCAGCATCCACCTGAAAATAACCCAAAACACTCTGTGTTGGATCCATGGAAGGAAGGGAAATTCACAAAGTAAACACTTTAAAAGAAATAGTGTTCAAATTCCCTGGGATTCTGTTCATCTGGGAGCAGAGGTCACTGAAAAAAAGCAGAGGTATATACTCTGAAGTGGTCAGTGATAAAAAGAAAGCTCTGCCAACATTATTTATAGCAGCACTTTTTGAAGAAGCAAAAACTGGAAACAAAGTAAGAGAACATTGATTGGGGAGTGGCTAAGCAAGTTGTGAATATTATTGTGTTGCAATAAATGACAAATGTGAAGAATGTGAAGGCTTGTATGAACCGATGCAAAGTGAAGGAAGCAGAGCAAGGAAAACAAGAATTACAATGACTACAAACTCAAATAGAAACAAACAAAAAAAAACAATAAAAACTGGATGCTGTCCAGTTACGATGACCAAATTTGAATCAGAAGGAGAGATACGAGAATTCACTTCTCTCCTTTTTTTGAAGAGTTAGGGGACAACAGGGATGGAATACCAAATATAAGGTTGGAATTGGTCATTATGTTCAGTAGTTTTATTGACTCTTTTTTTTTTCAATCTTTGAAATTTCTGTTATAAGGGATGGTTCTTTACTGGGGAGGGATATATTAGGAGATGTAAATGATGTAAAAACAAAAATAATTTTTAAAGGGTATAAACATTTGTATGTTAATTTGTACTTGACAACACAGTCACCTTTCCCCATTATCAGAGGCACTAGCTCCATTCAATCAACAATTACTGAGGGCCTAAATGCACATTACGGGGAGGTACATAGTTTAGAGAAAACATAGTTCCTACCGTTACAGTCTAGGAGGCCATAAACTCTCTACCTGGAAGCTACAAGGATTTGACCTTTACAAACATCTGGCTTTCTACCTCTTGTTCTGGGAATAATAATCAAATCAATATGACCTTTCTTGGAAAAGACATGTCAACAAACTGACCTGCGAGTCCACTCACCATTCCAGTGACTTTCCAAACTAAAACATCCCTCTCTGGTCACCACTCTCCCATATATACTATCTTCCACTATTAAAATATAAGCTTCATAAGAGTAGGTACTGTCATGCTTTTTACAATTCATATCCCCAGTGCTAAACATAGTACCTGGTACAGAGTTAATACTTAATACTTATTCGTTCATTCATACCACGTGACCAGTGTTTTAAAAGCTGTTATGACAATTTAAATCTTTACAAAACAACAACAACAACAAAAACTTGAACTCCTAAACATACAGGCAAGAACCATGGGGAAAGTTAAAGGGCTGACAGCCACCATATGATAAGTTTTCACAATCCAGTCAAAAATATGTTTCCTCTTTGTGTTGGTAAAAAGAGGGAGGTATCCTACAATGAAAAAGGCAGAGTGTGTGTATGGGCAGGGGGAGGCAGGAAGGAGAGCTGAGCAAGTGTTCCCTTCTTCACCTTTCTAAGTCCCTTTTCTCCTGCTGTGATGCTATGGTCTCCTTTGGTTCCAGAGGAAACTGAATTTACGTATCACATGCAATGCATGGGCAACATTAGGTGGAATGCTTTTCAGCCTGCCTTTTAAAAAGGAGAGAGAGAGAGAAGGGTGAAGGGGATGAAGAGGGAGAGACAGGGGATGGAAATCAGAGGAGGAAAAGAGAGAGGAGAAAGAAGGGAGAGAGGGGAAGAAAGACACAAAGAGACACAAAGAGCACCCAAAGCTTAACTCAAAGGAATGCCTCTTTAGGGGTAGAATTACAAACATTAGCAGGGGAGAAAGTTTTAGGCAGATTATCTATTTCTGCCCACTCCTAACAGCCTCTGTTAAATCTCAGGCTAGAAATAAGGGGTGACCATTTGACATATTATTGTACTGGAGTGAAATTATTTTAATTTAAAAAGCAGTAACATTCATACCAAGGCTGCTGGGAGCAGGGATAAACGAATTATAACAATAAACCAACAAAAATCAAAACTGACCCAAACCATACTTTCATTCCTGTAGCTTTTCAAAGATTATTCCAAGAGCTGCCTAATAATAATAATGATAATGATAATAATAATGCAAGTCTATATATCCCTTTCTCTACAACTCTTTGAAGCAGAGAGTAGAAGCATTATTTCCATTTTATAGATGAAGGAAATGAGGCTCAGAGAATTTAAATGCCTTGCCTAAAGTTATGCATTTAAGTAAGAGCAAGGAATCAAACCCTAGTTTGACTCCCACATACCAACTCATTCTACCATATTAAACTTTCTCTATAGAAGTTAACAGTCCATTTAATTGAGGTTGGGAAAATGATATAGCAAATATGTTTATTATTTGTCCATAAGCTTGTACATGAAAGGCCCAATGGCATAAGACTGTAATATTACTGGCAAAGAATAGTTATCCTATATTTTCAGTCAAAGAACTGCTCATTACCTTCCCTGCCCCCACACACATTCCTCCTATTATCTAAAAACTCTTTAACCCTCCCTCCAATGACTCTAGTAAAAACAAAACAAGTTGCTTCTCTGCCTCCTGTCCCCTTCATTTGGCTTCCCCTTTTTGACTCTTCCCCACCAGGTCCCCTCATAAAATGCCAATCCCTTGACAACTTTTGTCCCATGCTTAACAACTTTGCCTCTTCTGGATCATCTGAAACAAAAGAAAGAGCTGCTCTCCCCCATTCCTTCCCAACCCTCCTCCCCTTTTTCTTTCTTAAAAGTGGGAATTTATCCTGTTAAGCAGAGGTTCTTAACCTGGGGTCTGTGAATTTTAAAAAAATGTTTTGCTAATTATATTTCAATATAATTGATTTCCTTTGTAATCCTATGAGTTTTATTTGGTGTATTTAAAAACATTCTCCTGAGAAAGGCCCCAAAGGTTTCACCAGTCTGCCCAAGGGTCCTATGACAGAGAAAATGTTAAGGACTCCTGAGTTAAGGGAATTTCAGCATTGCTATCAAGGTAAATCCCAACTGCCTCAAATGTGTTGAATTATGGGGTGTTTGCAATGAAACACACAGCAATTCTTGTCTTCTGACAACACCTTCCCTTCAAATAAGAGACCATGCCATCACCAAAGATCATGATTTCCCTTATCTCTACCAGGTATAATATTAAGGATAGTATATATACAGAACTTCACCATCTCTGAAAACAACACTGGTACCTTCAGATACAAAGGATTTGCTGTGTATATAGCCAAAATGATCCTCCTTAATGAAAAATATCTCAGGCTATGTGAAAAATGTATTTGTCAGCATGAAGCCATGTTAGATCATTACCTAGAAATAGATTGACTGCAATCCCACACCCCTCATGCAGACATGCCAGGTTTTGCTCTAACCTCATCACTATAAATTTATGCCAATTATAGACTATTATTCCCAGGAGCTGGGATCTCATTATGATATGGTCAGTCCTTCCAATGGTGCAGATCATAACTCAGTCCCACATCTCATCCTGTGCAGCTCTTGTTCATGTCTTAAGTAATTCCTCCACAAAAGGTCTCCACATGTTGAAGTGGTGGTGGGTGCTGTATTTCTACTAGATCTCTCAGCATTGCATGGATACCAATGGTAAACCTGAGTTGTTCAAAGATTATTTCTTGATCTTGCTGCGTAACTGCTCTACTTTCCTTTCGGGTCATAAATCTCCCTGATGACACACTATATGTTCCATTTTTTTCCTTTGGTAATATGTTGCTGGGCAGCTGGGATATGTGCAATGGATAGAGCACTGGGCTTGGAATTAGAAAGACTCATATTCATGAGTTCAAATCTGGCCTCAGACACTTAAGAGCTGTGTGACTCTGGGCAAGTCACGTGACCCTCTTTGCCTCAGTTTCCTTATCTGTAAAATGAGTTAGAGAAGGAAATGGCAAACCACCCCAGTATCTTTGCCAAGAAAACCCTAAAAAGGAATCATGAAGAGCTGGACATGACTGAAATGCTGAACATCAACCACAAAAATGTTGCTGCCTATTCACACCAACCCTGGATGTGCCGTCCTTCTCATTTTCCCTTTGGGTGACCTGAAACTTTAGTTCTTCAGAGACAATGGCGTTCCTGACTCACAGCCATTAAGCATTGATGAAAGAAAATTGATATTAAAAAGGGAGGCCATTGTTACAGGGAGAAGTGAAGGATCATTCAAAGTGCTATGAAATTTTCCAAAGGTAGACCTGTCTATGAAACTCTTGTTTAATTCTGAGCCTAGGACACTGTGAGCAGTATCTGTCCAAAAGATATGAAGAGATGAACTACCTATGTAGCTTGTCCATTCAAGTGTATACTATATTCTTGGCAAAAGGCATTTTTCATCTACTTTGCTTTTCTTGTGTGGAAAATTAGACCAAAATCTTTTAAGTAATGGATGTGGATCTCATTTAGGAAACTCTCAAATGTTCCTGAGTTTGATGCGATGTTGTTTTGTGATAAGAAATTTTAAGAAACCCTATGCCTCTATTCAAAATAATCAATAAAACTCCAGGAATCAAAGTTTGGGGCAAAGGACTGGAAAAGTAGGTAACCACTTAGATAAAAAGTGTGCATATGAGATGGGTAAAAAGGAAGATGCATGAAACAAAACAAGGAACAAGCTTCTTAATATTACCTTTTATAAATACACATATTAAGAAGACTTGATTTGAAGGCAGAAAACTTGGTTTTGAAACCTAGCTCTGCCACTTTCTACTGTGACCTTGGGCAAAGGTCACTTAATTATTTAAACTTTCATATTAGTAAAAGGCAGGGAGTTGGCCTGGGTCATCTTTACGGTGCCTTCTAACCAATGATGCTAGAAAAATGTGTTCTCTGGGCACACAGGCATAAATATATAGACTACATGTATTATAGTAAAGGCTTAAAGTCTCTGGTGCCTTACAACAGGAGGTGTGTGTAATTTTCAAATGTTGCCTAATTGCTTTAGGCTTACAAATACCTAGTCCTGCCTCCTCCCTCCCCCCTCCCTTCTCTACTCCCAACAAAGAATATGAACACAATCACATC